CGCAGGGCAAGGAAGAGGGAAGTCCGACCGGAGTTGCAGTAGGTGCATGCCCAAATCAGCATGCGGGACATACTGAAAGAGGATGTGGTGGATGATGGCAGCGGGGATAGTCCACACAGTAGAGACACAAACTTTCTGGTAACATTGATGACACATGGCATGCTGCTGACATGGAAGTAGGAACGCTGGCTGACGTGCGCAGCTATTTAAACATGGCAAGTCAAGGCCCTGGCGGCATATTGGGCAAGCAATTAGGGGGTGGGGGGGATGAATACAAGACAAAGAGTTGCAGTTTCCGTGGCAGAGGCTAGCAGTGACCATCCCTTCATAGTGTTCGGAGCAGAGACTGTGCAGTGTGCACGCCAACCGAACTGTAGCTGTGTGACGACACAATGGGAGGGCACAGCCACCGTCCTCAGGAGAAGTCTGGTGATTGCCAAAAGGAGAATCTGTTCGGTCTACACAGGGAGGTGACACTGCTTGGCCACGTGCAGGAGAAGGGGGTGGGTGTTCAGCCGGGTTGCTCTCCGGAGGCTGTTGCGCTTGCAAGTGCAAAGAAACATACTGTTCCTGACGGACAATCCAGATGGAGTGAGGATTTGCTGCTTGGTTGTAGAAAGAGTTCATACTTCCCACCGTGTGCACCCTACTGCCATTTTCCCATAGTCCCATGAATTATCTGCAAGGGTGACAGCACTGAAATGGCCTGGACGATGCAAGATGTATGCATGGATATGTGGGTCCAGGCCGGGCATCGGGTTCTGGGGAGCAGGCTGCAGTTGTAGTCTTCTTGCCATGAATGCCATAGACAGGACTTCCATGTTCACTCCAGGTGCAGTACTGTCATCCTCTGGGCAGACAGCACGGTGCTCTTCTTCTAACCAGCGGACGATATTGGTAAACTCTGCAACTGTATAAGGGTTGCAATTATAAGCGAGGAGACATACATTAATAGCATAGTATGCACAGAGTCCTCGCTGTAGTATGATGTGTGTGTGTG